GGTGTAAAGTTTGGTTCTTGATACTGTGTCTATTCAATTGATTTCAGTTTGTTTTGTCCAGTTTAATGCTTTCTGATTTGTGGGGTTTTGTTTTATTGAAGTTATTTTGTTCTATTCTGTTTAAAGTTTGGTTCTTGATAGTTGATACTGTGTTTGTTCAATCGATTTCGGGTTGTTCGCTGCAGTTGAATGTCTTTTGAGTTGTGGGTTTCTGTTTTCATTTAAATTGTGATGTAGTTAGTATGTAGTTCACCATAGGGAGCAGAGCTGGGTAGGACCAAGGCCTTCGGCAAATTACACTCGTTATGGTTAAAAATTCTTTTTTTGTTGAATTGTATATCTAGTAGATTTGCTTTCCATTAGTACTTTCATTTGCTTCACTTGGGCTGAGGCTCTTTCGAAAACAATCTCTCTACCTCCAAGAGGTAGGGGTAAGGTTTGTGTATGGCTTTACCCTCCCTAAACCCCACTTTGTGTGATTTCACTTGGTATATTGTTGTATATACACTAGGAGTAGAATAGTCGATATTGAATCACTTTGGTCAATTTGTGTGATTAGTTATTCTTATTTTGAACTCTCTTAGTGAAAGTCCTAGCTCCACCACGGCACCACCGGTTTCCATATCACCATGGTATGGTTTTATATTTGTGTGTTTTATGTGTAAACAAAGGACAAACAAATTTTAGTGACAAGTACTATTATTTTGAGTTTCTACTGACTAGTAAGATGTTAGTTGAGCTTCATCTGGGTTTCCTAAAAACTTGCTGGCAATGAAGACAGGCTGAAATTCTCTCATTCATTCCATTTTTTTATTTTCTGTTGTTGTACTTGTTATCGTTTAAGCTTATCGCTACTTATCCTCTACATAGACCCTGCTCCCCTTTTTAATGACCTGTTGCTCTAGGGTTCATCAGTTTGACTAGTTTCAATTGCATCTCTTTTCTGTCTTTCAGTAAGTAGTAGCATGGAATTTCTGACTATTTATCCTAGTAGCTGTGGTTTGCGTTGTTTACTTATGTATTTTCTATCTTGATGCATTTCAGTTGGTTCTTGATACTATGTTTGTTCCATTGATTTCAGTTTGTTTTGTGCAGTTCAATGCTTTCGGATTATTTTTCCCTTATTCTTGACGTCATTTTTCTCTATTTAGATGTATTTCAGTTTGGTTCATGATTGTATTTAGTTCAATTGATAATCAGTTTGTTTGTCCATTTTGTTGGTTTTAATATTTCTGGGGTTCATGTTTTCTTGGAGTGTCTTTTTTCATTGTGACGATCACAATATGTTCTTCGCATATGACTTTGGTGTTTAAACTGCAGCAAACAAACATAGGCTGAAGATCCTTTCATATCACTCCCAATTTTTTTATTTCTTGTTGTTGTACTTGTAAGCATTTAAGCTCATCATTTCTCATATCCTACATAGTCACTATTCCCTTTATAACCTGTCGTTTATCAGTTTGACTGCTTTGGTGAATCTTGTCAGTCCCTGCATCCTCATTAAAATATCTCTTGTTATTTCTTGTTGTTGTATGTGATTTGCTGATCTGAGCTCGTTTTCGGTGAAGCTGGATTATAGGTTTAAGTGACTACCTTTCTGAATTACTCTCATTGATGGTGCACGGAAGCTAGGGTGTACACTTCTACTGAAAAAGTGGTACAGAGCTTTATTGCAATAGTTTAAAGTTGGGGCCTCAAAAATGTCGAGCGGAGATGGACCTAAAGTCTCCTGTGAAGAAATACAAATGGTATGCACAATCTTTTTTTAGATGAGTTGTGATCTTCCACATGTTATTTTGTCTTTGGTTAGATTTGTGCTCATTTATTAATCATTTTCAAGAAACAAAATTATCACTTCTCTTAAACACCAAGGATTTGTACTCGGTTCTCTTCCCCATTGCGTGGAAGAACATTTTGCTGGCTCATTGACGATAATCTACAACTAATAAAATCCTTGGACTTTGTTCCTTAGAGCATCTCTATGTTTATATTTCAGTTGAACCTTTATAAAATGTTATCACTAATAACATGGAACTCAACCAATACTGCATCATCTAGGCTCTAATATTGCTATTTCAACCCCTCCTTATTAAACAATACCAAAAAGAAGAAGCTTGGGTATCTTACTTAGATAATCACCAGCTGTTCCAAATTGAATAATCACGAATCTGCGCATAGATGCGTGAAAAGATGATGCTTATTTTGATTTTCAGGTGCAAAATCGGATTGAGCACTGTCTTCGGCAATACATGAGTCGGAAAGAAGTCGTGAACACTCTCTTCATCCAGGACAGCATAGAGCCTACATTTACTGAACTCGGTATGTTTTATATTTTCAATCCATACACTCACTTCCTCCATTTAATGTGGAGTGAGGACTTAACTTGGCAATTCATGTAACACAGGTTCCAAAAGAGATTCAAATAAGGATCACAAAGCTTCCTATGGTTAATAATGGCTGCCAATATTTCTCACACTTCCTGAAAATAAGAGATGACATTATTAAACAATTGAATGTACATAGAAATTTCCAATCATAAACTATCATAAAGAGTTTCTTTTGTCCATGAGTTTTAGCTCTCTATCACACAGCTGATGCTTTGCCAAATGATTAAAACAAATCTCACTGCCCTTCTCTGTTTTTGTGCCGTTTTTTAGCTGTCTCTGTTGTCTCCTTTCTATCTCTAACTTTTACAGTAGAATGCTTCCTTTGCTGATGAATAAATGATATGAATGCATCATATGTGAATATTCTTGAATAGTTGCATTGACTCTCTAACACTTAGTTATTGGTGATGGTGAGGGTTCTATTCCCTAACTTGTAATCCATTCCCCATATCCCCTTTAATATAACGAGTAATAAAAACACAAATCTCAAATTAGAGAAAAGTTAGTGGCCGTATAATCTTTTTTCAGTTTTTAAGATAAGTCTATTCACAAATATTGTATACTTTTTTTCAACTTCGAAGATCAGTCTTTTCACAAATATCGCTATTAACAGCTTCCTAAGCTTAACACTATTTTGAAGTATCAAGGATTCAAAGAAATTATTTTCACAAATTCAGATTGCTATTAACAGCTATACTTTAGATGTATATGTGTGCTAGTGAGGCTATTTAAAATACTTGATCAGTGTAATGTTAATCTGTGTCCATCCAAATAACTGCTGATGAATAATTGTATGAATGCATATGTAAATACAGTGAGTCATTGCTTCGGTAGTAACAAGTCTTCTTTTTCTTTCTTTCTCGTTTAAAAAAAGACTTTTTTGAGATGGTAATAAGCTTGTAATAAATTCATAAAAAGCTGTGAAGCCACAGTTACAGATAAAAGAATGCAAAAACTGCTAAACTAGAAGAAAGTATCTACTGAGAACTGCTGAAAAAGACGAGTCTCGTAAGACTTGTAGAAGAACCTCAGTGTCTTCTATATATTCTTTTTAAAACCAAAAATGAGAAAACAAAATATAACTTAGTTTCATCTTTTGGACTGGGTTGCTTAAATTTGGTTTTCTGGTCTAGGATGCTATTTTGCATCTGTTGAACTTTCCAGAACAGTAATAAGAGTTTGAAGTAATATTTCAGAATTGGATATTCCCACATTTAAAAAATGCTTCTATAATGTTCAGCTCAGAACTTTTGATTTCCTTTGAACTTGACATTTCTGTTAATTTGATCACTTCTAATTATCTGAACTCATCACTGGGAGTAATGCTGCTACCTTTGCCATATACCTGTGTCATTCTAGAAGCAATTGAAGTTATTTTTTACTATCCGTCTTGTTCCTCTGCTTATGAATGTACTCAGGAGCATTTGCAGCTCTAGTAGGTATATTAATATGAAACTGATTTGAGGAAAGATGATATTAATACTAACCTCTTCTTTTTTATTTTGTCCTTGTTTCCAGTATTGCCTACAGACGAGTAGCAAGTTACAGCTTTATGTGGTTCTGGTTTCCCAACTCTTTTAACATTATAATATTCTCGCTGTTTTTCAGTTTGGCAGAAACTAGAAGAAGAAAATCAGGAATTTTTCCAAGCATATTACCTGAAGCTGATGGTGAAAGAGCAAATAATAGAATTCAACAGGTTGCTTTCGGAACAGGTGAAGATGACGCAGCAAGTTCCAAGTGCAATTGCTTCTCTACCTATGTCTAATGGGTGTAATATTATGCCAAGTAAGATGGATACTTAGTGAACCTTTCTGCATTTAGGTCTCATGCATCAATCAGTATCTTGTCACTGATTAGCTACAAAAATCACTTGTGTAACTGGGCAGTTCATGTTCTGTTGTGCATATACGTAGCATCCAACTTCTTAACTGTATGCAGTTACCTCAAAATGTCGCATAAACCAGAACTGCGCTTAAAACTAATTGGTTGGCAGACTCTTCCATTTGGTCTGCAATCAAATGCCTGCTTTGTCTCATTAATTCTGATGCTGTTGATGTGGTTGCATTCATATACATGTGGTTTATGCTAATTATGGAATAGCCTCTTACCCCTTACTTATTTGTTGCATCCATGAGGTTTCCACTTGTATAGAAGTTTGGGTGCCTTTCGGAGAAAACTGTATCATCACTGTCTAGTTTTCCTCTTGTATAAGGGCAATTGTTGTTCTTGTCCCCTTTTAATGAAATTTATTACATTATCAAAAAGATTTAGCTTAATTTGTCTGATCTTTTATGCAACAAGCATGATGAGCACTGTTTTCAGTTTGGAGCCTGCCACTAAACTCTTGTCTAGACTTATCCTTATCTTCATTGCTTTCTATTTGCTTGTTACCTGTGTTCTTGTTAGAACCTGCATTTGAGAAGCTGTGTTGTTGTCTCTAGTTAATGTTAAGTTTTCTTGCCTTACTGCAGTGCATCAAAATTCAACTTGCGGTGCTGCCGAAAATGTTGGAACTGCTGCAAAGCCTAATGGCATGCACGAACCTGTACATGCTGATAGACCCAATGCATTCAGTAACAGCAGCTCATCTGTTCTCTCTTGCATGCAAACATCAATTGATATTCCTTCTCAAAGCAGGAAAACTGATGGTCCTCCTAATATGTTTTTGGGCCAGCCCTCTAACATGGGGATGAGACAAACAATGGATGGGAGGATTATTAAGACAGAACCTATCTATGGTGGCAATTCTCCGTTTGCCTTTGGTCCTCATGGCACTTACTTGGAGTCACGTTCTGCAATGGGCGATGCATCTGTTTCATCATTTAGCAGTGTGGAGTCGAACACACAACCTCTTAATGAACCTCTTCTGGATGCTGACACTTCTTCGTTTGGATTTCTAGGGGAGATACCTCAAAATTTTGGTTTCTCAGACTTGACTGCTGATTTCACTAATACTTCTGGTATGCGTCTTCCTCTCCCTATTTTCTCTGTAATTTCACCAAGCATCTCTGGGTTCGCCTTTTTTCACTTTCAACGTTTCAGGTATTAAAATGAGCTGGTATTGATGCTAATCAGGCATACTTTATATTCGTTTTGACCATGTTCAGATATATTAGGGAGCTACTCTAGGACTCCCTTTTTAGCAACAGATACTGGCAACTTGCTCGATTCAAACGGTATGTGGGATATTCCCAAAGCAAGACTTCTGTACTTTTTTGCTATTCTCTTCGGATAACCAATATCACGTCTTTGACTTTCAGGAGGCATTGAGAGGTTAACCAATCCCTCAGAGAACTTGAGATACACTAATTTCAGTGGAGATTGATCGTGTATAGGTAGGTAAGTTTCTCCATCTTATAAGATTCATCAGAGTTGTTTGGTTCCATTTTATACGAAGATTTTGAGTGGACATAATGTTTAAGATATTAATTTTGTTTATGCTGCTGGTAGCACATACATCGGTTCATAGGTGCAACATGATGATTGAAGGTGTAAAAAAAGGACTTATATTGTATAGAACTCATGTGCTTGGTTTTCCATCACATATGTGAGAATTCTGATCTTCGTTCGTTCATTCCTTCACGTCTCGTTGAAGGGGAGGACTTAGTATAGGATGAAGTAGGTGTGGTTTTTTGTGCCAATTGATGGATGTTTCTTTTAGAAATGACTCACTGTTGATGTTTCTCGTTGCAGATTCGATCAAAACACATACACGACGATAGCTTTTGTATATTGCTGGCTGCTCAAGTGGTTTTAGGATATTTGGATTTTCTGGTATTGTAGGTTTGAGGTTTTCATCATGAAGGATAATTCAAAACATGAAAGATTTCAATAGAGATCTTTACTTTGTACAAAGAGTTAAATGTGATTTAGAACAATTGTTATTTTAGCCACATATAGCATACTGTCTGATTTTTAGTGCAACTATGAAACAGTATTGAAGTTTTACAGCATATTGGACCTGAAAATTTCAGCATTTATTTCTATTTTTTACCGCTCCGTAGAAGCTTCCATCTTTTTTTTTGTTTCCTTGATGATTCGAACTCACAATCCTAAGTCGAATTTCTTCAACCCCCTTGATGTAAATTATACTCCTCTGTCTGTTTTATTTTATCAAGAGTCAAACAGTTTAACTTTGATCAGGCATTTGCGTATGAAATCTTTAATTTTTAAAAAAAATGAAATTTATATATTTGTAAACTACGTAAAGGTAATTAAACAGGCATTTGCATATATGTTTTGAATTGATATTATAAAAAACTCTATAATTCCTCATTTTAATTAATTTACTTTCTTTTCAAGTCTGTTTAAAAGAAGAATGATCCATTTTTCTTTATAACAACAATATTATTTCGGCTTTCACCTAACATATATAAAAATTACAAGATTGAAGATATTTTGCTACATTTGACGTATCTTCAATTTAAGATACAAGTAAAGAAAATGAAAAACAAATAAAATATATAAGAAAAGAATAAGATAAATTAAAAAAAACACGTTCTTCATAAATCGAAGTAGCTTAACACAAGTGAAGTTTAACAACAATAACGTACTATGCAAATCTTACATCAAAATCTTAACACAACCGAATATTAACGACAATAGTATTATATACAAAACTTAATCTCTACCTTATGAGACAAAAATACTATTTCCGATAGTTCTCGATTCAAGAAACTTCCATAAATTTGACATAAATGTCAGAGCTTAAAACAAATGAAAGTAAACAAAATCAAACTCTAGGCACCACAATATTTTTTAATTAAAAAAAACAACTTCAAACTTAAAATAAAATCTATAATAATTCTCAATAAAAAAAAAAGTAATCAAAAATAAAAATAAGAAGTTATAAATTTAATAAATTAAACCTGCTTCAATCTTCAATGCACATTTGACAAACTGTATGAATATCTTCATTCAAAAATGTGCACCTATCACACATCCACATAATATTATTGCTTGTGCTATTACTACTCATTGGTTGTTCAATTTTTTTTGTTGGATTATTAGTCACATCTTCTAGTCCATTTTCTAATGCCATGACCAATTTTTCGAAATAATTTCGAGTAATTTTTGTCAGCCCAATAACTCTCGATCGAAAATTAGCAAATTTCTTATAAGATCCTTTATCAGTATAGTCCATCTCATCTGACCCTAAATGTTTCATCAAGTCTTTCTCCACACAATGATGAAGTCGTTCTAGACCCGCCTCTGCTTCCCCTTGCAAGTACTCGAAAAATTGTGTCTTCGCCTCTTCTTCTTTAGGTAAATAAAATCCATAAGCATACGTCCATTTCAAAACCCTCCTACATTCGACGATTTGCTTCCAAGCTTCAATAATAAACCCTAATTCTTCCTTGTGTAACGAATTATCGTCACTCAACTTTTTCAACCCTTCCTCTTTCATCTCCTTCAAATCATTCAGAGCCTTATCTTTCGATTTTCCATTCGATAACCATCTCTCGTAATAATGTGTATACCTTTCAATCTTCTTCTTCGCGTTCGTTACTTCTTTTTTCTCCTCGTATCGATTGCATCGACTAGCACAAACACCCCATTCTTTAAAACATAACCAACAAAATTGATATCCACATCTACATGTCATATGCATACATCCCATATTTTTTTCGATTGATCTATCACACTCTGGACATTTTTTAGTGAAAGTCCTAAACCAATTTGTATTTGCGGATTCTTCTTCATTTACATACTTCCACTTAGCTACCATATCGCAATTTGAATCTCCTCTAAACAATTCCAACAAAAACCATTAGAACAATCGCAAATCACACTATAATCGTCGCTCCCTATCTCAAATTCGATAGCACATTCACATCCCGGATAAGGACACCACTTAGTCTTCTTATTTTCCTCGATATACGATCGAAATAAATAATCATAATATTTCGATTTATCTATCTCCGATGCTAATTCAACTATTATACTTTCACCTACCATAGCTTCACACGATGGATCGGGACATCGTAAAGCAAGACATTTATTAGGGCCACTATAATTAATCGATGCACCAATATATTTTTCCCAACATAACTTACAAAAAGGATGTTTTCTACACGTGGCATAAACCACATCATTGTATTCCTCAAAACATATACCACAATTCACAATATTATCATTCTTTTTCGATTTTTTCGACACTGGAACGTAGTTATTATTATCGTTATCGCATAAAAACATACCTATAGATTTACGAACTTCTTGTTCGTTAGCAAACCATTCTTCGTTAGCTCGATCAACCTTCCAATTATAACGACGTAGGAGTGCTAACGAAACGTCCCGTGGGACGGATAAGATGGCTGAGATTTTCGATATATCTTCTTTTACGAGCTGACGAATATCGAAATCCTTCAAAATTTTGTAATTTTTTTGTTCGTAAGTAACTATATTGGATTCATCAACATTGTTGGAATCTTCCTCTTCATCAGCAGAATACATATCGTAAAATTCATGATCAGAATCCATAATAATTATTAGAAGAAGAAAATAATAAAATTGATAATGAAAGTATAGATTAAGAGAAAGAGATAAATATATATAATAAAACCCTAGGGCTTAAAAAGTAGAAACCCTAATAGGACTTGAACTCGAAAAAAGGTTTTTTAATTTTTTTTTTATAATAATGTTTTAATATGTTAAAAGGAAATAAAATATGAATTAAAGCCCAATATAGTAAACAAAATGTGGATCTACGATGTTCATATTTCTTTTGTTTTAATTTATGTGAACGATATATGATATATTTGAATTTTAAAATCGATTTATTATGAATAAATATAGTTAAAATTATGTGATATTAATATGGAAGGAATTATACAATTTTATGTTACGTATTTGAGTAAGGATATGATTTATGTAAGGCAAGTAAAATTGTAATTTTGATATAAAGTACTAGATATTAAGACTTCCTACTTAGTTTTGGATATGGAAGTATTTAACAAATAACATTAGACTTTTCAAATTCGATTTGTATTCCGTCAAATCTCAATATGAACATTGACTATCGAAAAATCAGAAGAAAAAGGAAACCTCAAATACTATTATATATATATATATATATATATATATTT